GCTCAACATGTATGTGACCGGAAGGTCCTACTTCCTAACCCTCGTAGGTTCATGGGCGTGCAACGTTGAAGAGTCCCAAAGCTAGGACGAAACGAATGTCCATCACTCTCTTCTGGTTTTTGTTAACTATGAAGTGACTTCGTGGTCAAAATTGAAATCAATCAAACCCCTGCGGACCAACGCTTCAAAATAGACTGTTATTACACAACATACTTCCTAACTATCTCGGACAATGAAAGCTGAGGGTCTCAGTCACAATGAGAACACTACTCTATCATTGTGTTATGAAAGTACGCTCAAATCTGATGAGTTGTAAAAAGAACAAAGTGCACTGTGTGATGAATTCCACTGGCAATCACACCACTGACTAAATATCCTCATCAACTGTCATAATCTGAGTACCTAACTCAGGGAATCGGGTGTAACAATATTTAAATCTGTATTTCTGAGTGGTGAAAATATAAGCTCCTAAGTGTTGGTTTTGTGCGTCGGTGGCACAGCGGTAGAGAGCTTGCCAACCACGCCTCATATGGTCCGGGTTTCGATCCCCGGCCAACTCATTCCTTTACCTTGGTAAGCCAGTAGTAAAACTGGTAAAGAGGGAAGGTTGGGTCAGGCGAGGCTAGCAACCGTATCCTGTAAAAATAATCATCACTGCTACTGAAACTTCAAGCCTCTAGCTTGAAGCCTTATGTTCCACTGGGAACGTGGAGGAATAAAACGAGTGTTGGTTTGCAAGAATCTGATTAGTCAAAGGTTTGATTGCGAGCCAACATCAGTTAAAGAACCATCTGAAAACTAAGGAGTACTGGATACCTAATTCTGTGATATCAGCTTGGGACTCTTCAAAAGCACGCACCCACAGAGATTCGGACTCAGGGCCTGAAGCCATGTTTTGGTTTGACCACCACCAACCTGATCCTATATTAGTTAACATTGCCCGTCGAGCAACCGCCGGTATAGAAACAGTCAGATCATCGGCATCTTACTTAACAAAATTGGCTGTGTCAGAATGAGGCATAAGTCATGAAAGAAGAAAGATAGCAGACAGACAGACCGACATATACAAATATGTATGCGTGCTAAATAAAACGGTAAAACTGGTAAACGGGAATAAAAACACGATATATAAATATATATCGTGGGTTTGAATTTTTTGATGACTAGTGCCTCGGCCATGCCCAGATGTCTCAATTTTACTTCCTTTGATAGGTTTGATCGAATCTTGTATATGATTTTTCCAATAGCACTGAATATCCTGAGTTGACTAGATGTTCTATCACTGAACTATATACATGTTTTCGTCCTCCTTTTACTAACCAGGTTGGATAGTGTTCACGAGTGCTTTTTTCAAGTTGGCGCATGGTACGGCCGATGTATTCAGCTCCACACGAGCAAGTAAACTGGTATATATGCACGTTGGAGTGGCCCAATTCGACAGCTTGTCTTTCGCTTTCTAAATGAACCTGGACCTTGAAAACCTACTTTAAACCTTCAACAATGTCCATCAAAACTCTTGAAGCCGAATCCCATTCCACTTCCTTGACGTCCATCTCACAAGAAACGCCGAGAACTCTCTGAAAAGGTCCATGTACGAAAAGCCTACATGAAATGGACAATTCATCAATTTTCAAAGCTTCGTACCGCTAAGCAGAAGGAGGAACCTTTCCCGAGGATTCAAAAGATATGCAGCAAGGAAGTGGTTGACGAAGAACTGCGTAATCTCCGAGGGACCTTGATAGAAAAAAGTTTATCGCATAGAGTCACAGACAAGAATAGAAAATCAGAAAAGACTTCTGAACAAGTCCAATTCATTCCGAAGAAGATATTTCTGCTTAATCTAGAATTCAAAGGTGACAGTGAAGCAGAAATCCTTCGTAAACGCCTTTGCAAATCTCTGAGGAAAACATACTTCACCGCAAGCCTACGACTGACGTTTTCCTGCAAGAAACTGTTCAGCCAAAACGCGAAAGACAAGCTGTTGAATTGGGCCAACTCAACGTGCATATATATCAGTTAACTGGCTCGTGTGGAGCTGAATACATCCGCCGTACCATGCGCCAACTTGCGAAACGCGCTCGTGAGAACTATCCAGCCTAGGAGAACGAAAATGCGTATATGGCTCAGTGACAGAACATCTGGTCAACTCAGGACATTCAGCACCATTCGAAAAATCCTTCAAAAAAATCATATACAAGATTCAATCCAGCCTATCAAAGGGAGTAAAATCAAGACATCTGGGCATAGCCAAGGCACTAGCCATCCATAAGCTCAAACCCACACTATGTATCCAAAAGAAATACGTTCAACCCTTGTCCCTGCCATGGTCATCATAAACAGGTAATTGTTTTAATAGTGAATATATATATATATAATATTTATTTATATTTTAGATATCGAATACCTTGAACCAAATAATTACAAAAAAGGTGAGTGAAACTCATTTTTATACATCTACATATTACATCCATTATCTCTCTCTCTCTGCCTTCTCTACACACATCCGCACACACATACACACGCACACACCTGTACACATCTTGTAATTTTTCAAAAGGTAAACACAATTTAGGATATAGTGATACATTCAGGAGTGTAGTAGAACCCCGCACCTTGCACCCAACAGCCCACCCCCTTCCACATCATAAACAGAAAATGGACAATGTGATAATAGATAAAAATAGTAGTAGTAGTAGTAATAATAATAATGTTGTAATCAATAAAGTGTAGAATAGAAATTGGAAGAAAAAAAGATCAATTATACAGTTCAGTTGGGTTTGGTGTTTTTTTTTGTAGAGATAAAGCGTGTGCAGAATAAAGAGCAAATACATGCACACTCTCAATTAGAGAGCACAGGAGAGAGAGAGTCGATTTCAAGTCTTAACAGCAATTCAGTTCCGCATGGACGTGTACACTTAATCTCCTAGAACAGTTAGTCAATGAGGTTGTGAAGCTCCATCGATTGAGATGGCTAAGATATGCGCATTGCATATGCGAAGCTATTGTGTTCCGCTGATGGGAAATGTTAAGCAACATAGGAGGACATAGGTTGGAGAAGAGAATTAAGCGTGGGTTAAACTAAAACACTGCATCAATGCATGAAGTCTCTGACAGTTGGTTCAAGGTCAACGCAGAGAAGTATGGGCTATCTGTCGTTATCGATTCCTAAGGATGTTGGAAACAATTGGTATGAGGATGCATTCACCTTTTGTAATCTCACATATCTATTAAACCTTCATATTTTGCCATGTTAGGATTCTTTCTCCTTCACATTAGTGCTTATAATCGATGGACCCGATTGAATGACTCCAGAGGTGTTTAAGAATGGTGGAGACAGTTTACTGTCTACGTTAACTAAGATAATTAGTAAGCGTCTAGGAATAAGAGGAAGTCCCGTTAGGTTGGTGTAAGTCATTGATTATCCCGATATACAAGAAGGAGGACAAATCTTCCTGTGATAATCACACGGGGATTTAGCTTGACCAATATGCTATCTAAAGTTCTAGGCTCAATAATCATGCATATCCTAAGTGGTACTCAAGAGAAACAAACACAAGAGAACCAGGAAGAGGGTTTATCGATCATATCTTCAACCTTCGACAGATTCTGGAACATAGGCATACTTACCGTCGGCGTCAAACAATCGTTATATTTCTTGACCTAAAGACATCATTCGATTTCGTCGACCGAGAGGTACTCTGGTGATGCTTGGCTGTAAAAGGAATGCCGAGAAAATACATTGCACTGATCAAGGCACTCTACTCGACCTCATGCAACCAGCCAGGTGAGAGCTTACGGCGAGTTGTCGTATGAACTGGCGACAACTAGTGGCGTCCATCAGGGATGCCTACTATCCCCATTTCTATTCAATTTCATTACAGATGTACTAATGGACTTAACCCTTACTGACTTCAGAGACTCAGGGATTGACTTGTTACCAAGGTATGATCTCGCTGACTTCGAATATGCAGATGATATAGTCCTCCTCTTAGGTAAGGTGAAGACGCTGACAAAATGCAGAGTCTTCTGAACACCTTGAGCTGAGCACCAATCTTCGAATGTTTGGCACGCGATTCGCTCCCGCCAAATGTAAGATGATGTCACTGGAATGGACTACACTGACTCCTACATTAGAAATAGAGAGTGAAGTGGTAGAGCGTGTTGACCACTACACTTAATTTGGGAAGTCGCATGAGTTCCAACGAGTTGATTGCTGTCGAAATCTTAGCACGGATACAGAAAGCTAGTTTCACATATGCCAGTTTACGCCGTTTCTGGCGTAGATGTGACATCCGACTATCGACCGAAGGACGTGTGTACTGCTCAGCAGTCTACTCCATCCGCCTTTATGGCTGTGAGACCTGGCCATTGACAGTGGAAGACATGAAAAGATTGGCTGTCTTCGATCATAGGTGCCTGCGTTCTATCTCCCATGTTAAGTGGTATAATAGGGTGAGCAATGTTGAGGTTAGGCGTTGAGTGCTAGGCGAGGAGAGGGAATCAACCAACGAGGCTGTGAAGCTACATCGACTGAGATGGTTAGGACATATGTTACGTATGCCTAGTCATTGCCTTCCTCAACAGGCAATGTTAGTTGACATATGGTCAAGCTGGAAAAGAGCTAGCGGCGGTCAAACCAAAACATGGCAGTCCTTGTAACTTGTAATACCCAATAAAACTATAATGTTTCTCGTTATTACTATTCCTTTTGTCTCATATCCCTGTCTACTGTCTCTATTTTGCATTTCTTCTACTTTCTTCTCTTGCTTTGTGTGCTACAAGGAGGCAGTGTGGCGAACTGAACTGCTGCACATCGGTGCAAAGTTCTATGTTGAAAAGAGACAGACAGACAGACAGGCACAGCTGATGAGCTCGGCGCCAAACCAGAGAAAAACGGCCATCCGGTGTACTACTGGTTGATATGAGTGGGTGGTATGCAACTGTTCATCTCAATAGAGATCAGTTTGGTATGTACTTGTACTTGGTGGCATTGTACTTACTTGTATTTTGGCTAATGGAATAATTTCACCATCAGAAGGTTTTTGCCAAATTGTCTCTCTAGTGCTACTGTTATAATAATAATTTCTTTGTGCATTTGGATCGAATAACTCCCACCATTGATTAGGTGATGCTGCTTTCCTGTAAAATAGTAGAGAAAAAAAAGAAGAGAGAAAGTGGTAAATGAAGGCCAAAACACAAACTTTTATAACTGTGAAAAGGATTGATAGTAACACAAAGAAACTTAGTTTTATTCTTTCCTGTTCATTGACTGACTGTCTCTAATTGCCACTCTTTCTCCATGTACCACACAAAGCAAAAGAAGACAGTAAAGACAGATTCAACAAAAGAGAGAGATAATCAACAGAAGTGTGAGTGAGAGAAAGAGGGTAGTAATGTGGAAGATCAGTAGAGTTTTATTGGATATGACTGACATCCTGATTCTTCTTCGGGTACCTGAAACAGAGAGAGGGTTAGTGTTGCGTGACCGCAGAGCCCAGGGGACAACTGCTTGAGGACGGCCTGTATGAACTGGTTTCTGGGATTGGTTCCGTATTAGTAAACTTACCGCTAGTCGGGATGTAGAATTGTTGGGGTCGACCTTTTCTAACTCCCTCTCTCCAGATTGAAGAGACAACATAGCTGGCATGCTGGTCATCTGAGGGAAACACCTTACTGCTGTTACATCCCTGTTACCCAGCAGTACGACTTCGCCCACAGACCCCCAGCATAGTGTACATAGTGTACACTAAGCCTAACTGCTTTTAGTCTAATCGCTATCCTAACAACCTTCCTGGCATGGTAGGACCTGCAGGAACATTGGTTCCAGCCAGTGTAGCTTGTTGGGGGTCATCGCGACGTGCAAGCCCAACCACCATGACGTCAGGGTAGCAGGTATCGGTCGGCACTGACAAATCACATAGAGTGAATGCATTTGCATCAGCCACTGACAACGAGGATTTTGAGCCATATGGTCACCAATTGTCTCCAGCCGTCATTGGTTCTTACCATCCCGAGGACCCCAACCAGTCTACACCTCCCAACGTGGCTGGCTGGCTTAAACTAACTGTCAAAGATTTCATTGACTGGTGCCATGTTTTAGTTTGACCACCACTAGCTTTCTCTTTTCCATTCCAACCTGATCCTATGTCAGTCAGCTGAAATTGCCCACTGTCAAGGAAGGCGATGACTAGGGATGCATGCGTAACACGTTTCCTAACCATCCCACTCGATGCAGCTGCTTCACAACCTTGTCGATTGATTTTCCCTCCTACATACCTAGCACTCAACCGATGTCTTACCTCATTATTACTCACCCTATTATGCCACCTAACACGGGATTGGCTATTAATGTATTTCACTGAGATGGAAGTACAGACCGCCCTCTTTTGAGTGCAGTTAATAACAAAATTACGAACACCAGCACACACACACACACAAATTACACAAACTATTTGCAGTAGGGCTCAAGATGGCCACACAAAAATAATAAAACAACAATATAAAGAAAAGTGCCATATATAACAGAGGGACAGCATTATAAAAATAAGACATATTTATCAAGAATTTCCTCTACTGTTACTTTCAGACGAAGAAGAAAAGAGGGAATTGCAGCACGATTGCCACTGATGACGATTATTTACCTTATCTGATAACTGTCAGAGTCATTGATATGGATTATCTTTTATACCCCGCCCAGGATGACAGAATGCATTAAGAGATGCTGGCCCAGCCCAACCTATCCTTCATTTTACGGCGCCATATCATGGGCTGGTCACTCTTCCACTTTGGCCACCCAGTCAAAGGGCCAGGAAACATTGAACAGCATGGCGATCACCAGGATGTGACATCCATAGGATATGTCCCAAGATGGTATCACCTATTGAAAGACAATGCCCATCATGTTTGGACACATGCTATAGCATTTAGACATTACCAACATGGTGACAACACCGGATTCAAATAATTATACGAAGGCAGCAATGGTCAGAAATGCAGAAGAGTCATACATTCTCAGCTAGGATAGGCCATGTTTCACAGACTAAGAGAAAGACTGTGTGCGCCGAACCAGACCTCTGGCAACCAGGCTAAAGTCACAACAAGACCAAAGGTGTTCCAAGTTGGCATATGCTGCACTGGCTTCAACTATTTCACCCGTTACACCTCTGCCAGTACCCAAACAATTACCTAGAAACACAAACTTGTCGACTACTTCTAACGATTCACATGTGAATACAGGCACATGCTCCTGTCGATCTCGTAACAATACTCTGCACTTAGATGGAGCGATGAGCTTACCATACTTGCAGACACTGGCTAGAAATAAATTGTGATATGTGGCAAAGCTGATGAAGACAATCCCCATTACTTGACTTAGTCTCACATGATCACCTCAACTCTACTCTGTGTCAAGTCCAGATGCCCGACTAACACTACCATATCTGTCGAACGCGCATGCTTAGGGAGCTCACTTATTTGATATCAGAGCTTATCGCTAATCGCATCCGGACTACAATCCGTCAGTGTGTAGATAGGCATGACGAAAAGACAACGCCTCTCTGGTCGGGAACTTCCTACTTTAACATAATATAGCCTAACAGCACATAAACGACTATTAACGTGGATCCAACTCTAGTGGTTAGTGGCGACACCAATACCAGGATCATTACATTTTACTAGTTACCAACAGTCAATTAAATCAACTCTATGTCATAATTTAAAGAGAAAAAGCATATTAATGCATTTACCAATGAACGAAGCTTATACCGTTAAGGGATGGTGGAACTCCCTAGTTCCATAAACTTCGGTTAGTGGATTGGAAAGTAAAACCCTGAACAAATGATTGAAAATCGAGTGTTTTATCCATTGAACCAGAGCTCCACAATAGTATACTTTTAAAGTAGACTTTAACCTGAAAAACACGACCACGTAAATGTTTGAAATACAAGTAGTGGTTTGTTTCACTGAACGTGACAGGTAACTTTCAAACAGATGGATCTCATGATAAAACCTGTCCCAACTTACTCGAGCCTTGAGGAATCAGGCATTACTGGAAGCATATTTAACGTGTGGTTTATAAAGTATTATACAAAAGATACATGTACCGGCACAAAAGAATTGAAGCATTACATTTTATCATTACGAGTGGTACTCTACAGTGATAACTTGGCTTCCATAACTCAAACAATGAAGGTTTTTATAGTGTAGCGGTAAATAATTCCCCAAAATTATTAACCACAGCAATCATCACTCAACATTGGATGCTGACCATCACTGTTTAAGTCGACTTGTTTAGCTGAAGGCTTACGGTCAAGCATCCCCGCCATTTGGTGCTCTTCGTCGTGTCACGTGCGTGCACGATTACTAGCTAGCTAAGCATTCATTCCTACCCGCGATTTGGTCCCAAAATATATATCGTATTTGGACGACAAAATCTGGTCTTTTGCTTTACCATTTGGTACTCGAAGAACGAACACTATAGTGGTTGTTGGTATAAGATCTTGCGTTAGTATAATCCGTACAACTCGCGAACGTTCGATACCCGCAGTCTCTAAACTGGTGAGCCCAACCACGAACTACATCTTCAATTCACACGCAGATAAACCCGGTGAGTTCGTTCCTTTTTGTGTTTATTCTTGTACTATATTGTTATCGGCACACTTTTCGTCATGAGTGATCCTAGCCCCAAGGTTATTCAGATTCGCTCAACCGCCAAAACAATTCAGCTAGTACCATTTTGGCCAGATAATGCTGAAACGTGGTTTCAGATTGCTGAGTCCGATTTTTGTGAACATGGCATAACTGATCAACGTTCACAGTTCCTTGCAGTTATTCACGCCCTACCGCGGGAATTCAGCAAGTGCGTAACTCTGCAGATGTCGGTAAGTAACTCGTACGAGTTGCTAAAAGCATCCATCCTCAAGAGAAACGTTCTCACAGATCGACAACGTCTGGATGAGTTATTTCGTAACATCGAGTTAGGAGATCAGTCAGCCGTGAGCATGCTGGCAAGAATGAAAGAGATCATTGGGCAAAGTCAGTTCGATGAAGGACTGTTTAGAGAACTATTTATATCCAAACTGCCACAGTCAGTTCAGACTGTACTTGTGACACTTCAGGGTGTTCTCATAGATGATTTAGCTGTCTCTGCAGATAGAATTCTAGAGATAACGAAACGGCCAGTTACCGAAGTATACTCAGTTACCGAACAGGCTTCGAAGAAGGATTCGGCAATGATAGAGTTAATCAACTCCGTCCAGCAGATGCTTAGGTCAAACAAGCCTAGCAATTCCTCCTACCGTCGTTCCAAATCCCCTCAACGGCTAAACGTACGTGGACGATCTAAGTCCAACACACGTTCTCTCAAAAATCCTGACTGGTGTTGGTATCACAACACCTATGGCAAGGAAGCAAAATGTTGTCGAAAACCTTGTGATTTCGACAAAGCCTCCAAGTCTGTGGGAAACTATCCCGCCGGCACGCGTTAGCGGCAACCGTCGCCGGTGGCACTAGCCGCTTACTTTACATCCATGATGTAATTAGCCAGACTAGATATCTAGTCGACACAGGCGCCGAAGTCAGCGTCCTTCCTGCTACAGCAGCAGATCGACAGAAGGATCCTAACTTCAACCTACAGGCTGCAAATGGAAAACCAATTGCAACCTATGGTCGGAAATACGTCTATCTGAACGTAGGTTTACGCAAACCTATTCGGTGGATTTTTCTGATCGCTGACGTCACAATGCCCATCATCGGCACGGACCTACTTAATCATCATGATTTGCTCGTAGACGTCCGCCGTAAACGATTAATTGACAACACTACTAGTTTGTCTATCAAAGGCATAACTTACGTAGGCCCCAGCTTGTCAATCGTTAAGATGAAAGCAATCCTCGATCCAACTTTTCAACCGATTGTTGATAAATATCCGGAACTGAATTGCCCATCTAACGACCTCCCGTGTATAACCAGCAATGTTATGCACCACATCATAACCTCAGGACAGCCCGTGACATCTAAAGCACGACGACTGGCCCCTGATAAACTGAGAATTGCCAGAAACGAATTCGATCATATGCTCACCCTTGGCATCATTCGACCATCGAATAGTCCATGGGCATCCCCGTTGCATATGGTACCGAAAAAGGATAGCAACGATTGGCGACCCACTGGTGATTACCGGCGAGTGAACGCCAAAACTACCCCCGATTGCTACCCATTGCCTCACATACACGACTTGACGGCAACGTTATCTGGAGCATCTATATTCTCCAAAATCGACTTGGTTAAAGCTTATAACCAAATCCCCATGGCAACGGAAGATATTCCGAAAACGGCTATCATCACGCCTTTCGGACTTTTCGAATTTCTACGTATGCCATTCGGCCTCCGGAATGCGGCCCAAACATTCCAACGCTTCATAAACGAAGTATTTCGCGGTCTCGACTTTGTATACGCATACTTAGACGACTGCCTCATTGCCAGTCCAGATAAGGAAACTCACCTTAGACACTTGGACTTGGCATTTGAAAGGTTACGCCAACATGGTGTTACCATCAATATACAGAAGTGTCAAATAGGCGTTGACTCACTCGATTTTCTGGGTCACACTATTGACTGTCAGGGCATTCGCCCACTGGCTACTTCGGTCGATCACTCTAAGAAAACGCGTTCTGGACGTCACGTTAGATTCCCAGAATACCTTCACACCTATCTCACATAACTGAGTGACACATCAATTTTTTTTATGTTGCGTCATTTAACACAAGTAAATGATATTTTTCCTATAACCGTACATAAAAGTAAATTAGATGTATATTTTTTTCCCCCGATATTTTGAACTTTACATTATTTTACTGTATAGTAGATGCATGTCATTTTTTTTTTGGTAAAAAACGCTTATTTGGTACATTTTTCTTGACAAGGTTCTCAGCATTCTTGTTTTCTTTTCCAGGTGCAACGGGCACTGGACAGGAAACAGACGAAGCACGGGATCCAACGAACAACACTGAGGAAGCTATGTACAGACACCCTATTAGCATAGGCAGACAGACCAGCAGGCTCTCAATCAAGCCGCTCGGAAGATTTTTTTCACCCATAAGGGAACCATCGAGATTTTTTTACTTCCGGCTGGTCATGTCTTAGGGTCCTCACAAACCCACTAGGGGGGGAGTGAGCTGTAGCGGTAAATAATTCCCCAAAATTATTAACCACAGCAATCATCACTCAACATTGGATGCTGACCATCACTGTTTAAGTCGACTTGTTTAGCTGAAGGCTTACGGTCAAGCATCCCCGCCATTTGGTGCTCTTCGTCGTGTCACGTGCGTGCACGATTACTAGCTAGCTAAGCATTCATTCCTACCCGCGATTTGGTCCCAAAATATATATCGTATTTGGACGACAAAATCTGGTCTTTTGCTTTACCATTTGGTACTCGAAGAACGAACACTATAGTGGTTGTTGGTATAAGATCTTGCGTTAGTATAATCCGTACAACTCGCGAACGTTCGATACCAGCCCCCTAAAATAGCATACATCAAATATTATGTACTGGTTCTGGTGATGCAAGCGTTTGGCAAATTAGAACTTCTAGGTCCATTTATGAACAAGTACTTAAGCTGATAGGCCATATCACTTCAACGGAAATCGCTAAAATTAACCAACATCTCAGTATCCTCCAAATATACATAAACATTAATTGACTACATTGTAACTGGACAAGTCTTATATTTAAAATGGAAATCTGATTGACTGACTTCACTAACTTGTTTCAACGTAGAACTTTGCACAGATGTGCTGCAGTTCAAGTTGCAACACTCTCTCCTTGTAGCACACAAGGCAAGGGAAGACAGCAAAGAGATAGTATGAGGCAAAAAGAATAGTAATATGGAGGAACAATATAGTTTTATTGGATATTATATATCACAAAGAGTGAATGCATCTGAGCCAGCCAATGACAACGACGAATTTGAGCCATATGATCACTAATTGTCTCCAGCCTTCATTGGTTCTTACCATCCCGAGGACCCCAACCAGTCTACACCTTCCTACGTGGCTGGCTGGCTTAAACTAACTGTTGTGGATTTGATTGACTGACGAAGCCATGTTTCGGTTTGACCACCACTAGCTTTCTCTTTTTCAACCTGATCCCATGTCAGCTAACATTGCCTGTTGTCGAGGAAGGCGATCGATGGCTAGGGATGCATCCGTAACACATGTCATAACCATCTCAATCGATGCAGCTGCTTCACAACCTCGTCAATTGATTTCTCCTCCCACTTACCTAGCACTTGACTGGGGCCTAACCTCAACATTTCTCACCTTATTATACCAAATAACAAGAGAGAGATGGAACTCAGACAACTGTGACTAAAGACAGCTAGTCTTTTCATGTCTTCCACTCCCAATGGTCAGGTCTCACAGCCATAAAGGAGGAATTAAGACCGGAGATAAAATGCAGACATCTATGATCAAAGACAGCTAGCTAGGCTTTTCATGTCTTTATGGAAATCTGACATTATATTGTGAATATGGTAATGCATTCAGTGGAGTTTGTCTGTACAATAAAAATAATAAAATAAACCAAAATATAAAAAACCAGCGCATATAAACATATATATATAGACAAGGATAACCTACACTTTAGCATTCTTTGGAGGATCTCGAAAACATGCACCAGACTTCAAATTGATATACATTAGCTGTTGTGTTTTATGATCCACTAATTCAACCCAGTCAAAACTGAAAGTAAAATATGTTAAACATGTATGAGAATGACTATATATATATGTATAAACATACATATAATTCGATCGGATCTGCGCTATGAGTCGATAGAATTTAAAGAAGACAACATTTTGAATTTCTCACAACCCTGTTACTCTTTAGATAAGTTCAATATACGTATCGTTTACTCAGTGTATGTGTCTGTTATTTACTCTGCTGTTAATTTTATCTAATAAATTTCTCCTGAAATATCATTCGCAGCACCAATATAAACACCTACGCCGGCTACCAAATGAGAGAACTTCTCGAATGACTGACAGACAGGTTTCAACATAGAACTTTACACTAATGTACAGCAGTTTGAGTCGCCACACTCCCTCCTTGTAGTACACAAAGCAAGAGAAGAAAGTAAAAAGAAATGCAAAATAGAGACAGTAAACAGAGATATGAGGCGAAAATAGTAATATCGAAGAATAATATAGTTTTATTAGGTATTATAAGTCACAAGGAGTGGATGCATCTGCGCCAGCCATTGAGAACGGTTTTGAGCCATTCTCGACTGCTTACAATGGTGCATTTTTTGACTATAAGTACAAATTCTACCTTTAAATTATCCCATAAAAATAACTTGCATTTTAATGGTGTATGAGGTACACACCGTTCTTACAGCCAATGATACCGAGCTAATTAGTTGCTGTTTGGGTAACACAATAGGATGACTTTTACATCCTTGATGTCAGATAGGCAGATCTACATCACCATACTACTGTGTGGGAAATGAAATCAGGAAGGAATGGAGAAATCAGTGGAGCTTCACATCCTAACCTTACAACTAACAATGGATATCAGCAACCTTGACCCGTAACCAATATACGTGTTTGTCGCTTCATCTGTCGAGAAATATCAATCAACACTTATATGATACCCATCAAGCGGAAAAAAATGAAACCAAGGTGGCTGACAGATAGAATTTTCGTTGAGGCTAATGTTTAGCCTCGTTTTTACATTAGACAAATGTTTAGCAATGTCCAGAACATGTGTATGATGTTGACTGGTAGCTAGGTTTCCTGAAGGTATAGGCTTTTTGACCTGTCCATTAAAGTGTTCTACCCAACGATACATCTTTTTCTGAGAAATTATTAGATTTCTAAAAGCTTTAGTGGTGATTTTACGTGCCACTGCATTTAACAGATAGTTAAATATCATACCAGTATTAAAGATGACGGAAGTAAGCAAAAGTCAAAGAAATCTTCGACATCCATGTGAGATGTCATCAATAGTCAGTAAATTAGGACTCATGTAATATCGTAAATAAATGAAATGATCTACATATTCCACTATTTTAATCCTTATCCTTAAACTAGAAGTTGGTGCGGATCAGTTTTGTAGTATCACCTTACAACTAACAGGGGCAAATCAGATGCAAAAGTACTAGATTTTTCTCTACAGTGTTCAGAAGATTGTATTTTGTCAGCACCTTTACCCAAATGGTCAATCTCATTTGCGTACCACACATCGAAGAAACTCTTCACTGGTAACAAATCAACTTTTGACACATCAAAGTCGGTTAGGACTGCCTTCATTAGTATGTCTACAATGAAATTAAATAAGAATGCTGACCGTAGACATTCCTGATGGACACCACTAGTTGTTTCCATCTCAGAAGTCTCCATAAGCGATACTTAGTTTGCAGGACAACGTAGAGTAGAATATTAGATACTATGTTATTCAACCTAATCCCATTGTGATTATCACACGATTCATCCACCTTCTTATCAACTGGGATGATTAAGAATTTACACAAGTCAAGTGGAACTAACTCAGGCTTCCATACATTTACCAATACCTTAACATGTTTACAGATTCATTGAGTTTTGCCGGTAGAGGACCCCAGTATGTTCTTTCCACTGGCTTGGCTTCCTTAGTTGAACACTTAGATCACTCAAAAATATGAATGCATATGGGCATCTTGAGTTTTGAGGCAAATTAGGCAGCTTTTCTTCTGAACTCTGGTTAGTTTGTGTAACTTAAAAAGTATTAGCGAGTGCAACTATTTTCCCCTATTTATACAAAAGTCAGAGAGCTTAAACAGTCTTCACACATACGACTATTCACTAGGACTTAATCGAGTAGTGAACTTTTGGCTTTAGAGCTTTAGTAAATGAGAACCAGCTAAGGATACTTATGAAGAACTTTCCTAACTCACCATATCGGTTAGGCGTGGTTCAAAGAACAACTAAAATTGAATATCATACCTATGTCACAGAAATGCAGTACTCATACAAAACTTGAGGTACTACAGATTTGGTCAGCCTCCGGTTTCGACTTTGAAATCTTCAACTGAAAGTGTGGTTTTCCAACTATCATGAATGATGCTTCAGGTGCAGTGTCTGAAGAGGTTATAGCACTAATAATAGTAGTAGTAAGATTAAAGTAATGGATGATGACAACAGCTTTATGTGTGCATGTTCACATCGTGACAGCTTAATTCCTTTCTTCCAGAACCCTAAGTTGGAACAAGATTAGTTCAACGAGAACATACAGCCCAGGTGAAAAAATTGTAGGTTGGTCACACAAGGACTGAATGAAGGTAAATTCTCGCTCGCGAGAAAAACCTTTTGACGCCAAAGTTTTACCACACGTACTACCGCCAGCGGAAGATAGCATTTATAACCTGCTTATACATCAATAGGAACTTTTGATGGTAAAAAAGCCAATGTGTTAAGGTGTAACCAATTTTTTAAAACTTCATTTCTTACTGAATATCAAGTTTACTATGACACAAAATTTTCTAATAATCATAAGGTAAAAATAATTCCAAAAGAAAAACACAAGAATCTAAACTCAATAACAATTCTAAGTGGTGCAATCTGCTGATCAGTGAAACATTAAACTTGCAATCAGAAAACAACCACTGCGATAATTTACACTCACTTTTCTGAGCTATTAGGATCCATAATATGGTTGGATTTCGTGTAACTCCGAGTTAACAGCTTAGAAACATGTACCGACCAACGAATTCATAACGAGAACCGCATTATTTGTTGAACTTCATTTTGTATACCGCGGCACATAGATGATAATTTTAATGAACTGTATGGGGTATTTTTACTTTAGTTACATGAAAATATTGCATATCAGTATGAAATACTTTGCATCAGGAACATTTGTTTAAGTCACTCAAGTATCAGGGGCGCGTAAACTCAGAACAGCTGATGTTCTCTTTGTGATCACAGTTTTAGGCAATGCCTAAGTCTTCCAGTGGAATTACGCAAAGTCGTGAGTAAAGCTATTCTTTTCTGTTGCTTTTTATTGTTTTAAATCGTTGACATAGACTGTAGTGATTCAGATGCTTTACACATCTCATCAAAATAACAATTGTAAATAATAACATTAGTTGTGGAATCTAAGTTGCTCACTTTTAATGTTAAGTTATTTCAATAATTAATTCATTTTATTGTTTTGGGTCACATGACACTATTTTTAGGGTGTGGTTTGCTGTTTTTTCGTTTGGTTAGATAAAGACCTACGAAGCTAAAATCATAAATCCTGTCTATACTCCAGTGTCTTGAAAACTCTGCTACACTCATAGATGTCACGCTTGTTTGCTTTATTTGATGTATATTTTAGTACTGCCTTTTTACTCTGAATATGAATTTCACACACCTTTCAATTATAGATGTTGACTGAACTAAGGGACTTCTGAGAACCTTAAGCGAGCTTAGATTTTAATAATTTTTAGTATCTAATTCTCCTTTTTAAAATATAATATGATTCTGCAATGTAAGCTCCGGACCTCCAAACGAAGGGTAGATGAAAACTTCCATCAAAGAATAGATTTATTTGAAATCACACGGTGAAATGATTGTGAGCAATAAATTGCTCTCGAAATGTATCAGTTAATAATGCTGCATATTACTGTGTGATTTTATCAGATAACTTTACTCTATGATGGAAATGTACTCTACCACAGTGCCGAAGTTCCATTCCTACATCAAGGTAAAAAGTTGTCGGAAATGTCTAAGGTTTCATTTTATAAAAACTGATGGAGTGGTTACTCATATGGGGTTCTCTAGTACTTGGTACTGGCCACCCATGATAAAGCCTGTGTGGTTCACAGTAAGAGTGCCTTACCTGTTGTTGTAATTAGAAAAAACCATTTGCTCTTGAATGTGCAGCTAGTATGGCTTCGCTGAAATCACGTTTAACCATTTGGTGGTCACTGTTTGTAAGTTCGATGTGTGCTTCTTACCATCTAAGTGCTGTTTCAGGATTAGCAGACAGCACACTTCTACCTATCCTCACAAACAAACTGTTAGAGAAAGTCGATAAGTTCGTGCATTTCTTGATGCCAAGTTTGTACCAAATTTGTTTTGTTAATGAAATATTAATAGAGATCTTGTCAAACGCTATAATACTGGTCTGTTCTGAATCCCGTTTTAAGTATAGGAAGTGGCGTGGTTAAGTATGTTGGCTAGTTCACTTATTCAAGAACTTATAACTGTACCATTTTCGAAGTGTGGAAACATGAACTTTTGTGAAAAAAATTGTGATTGTCTCATTCCTTTGCATCGGTGAACTTCGTGATCAGGATGAACATTGTCTGTTGTTTTGTTTATAATCATAATGATTGGGCATCTGAGTTTAGTGAGGTTAGGTAAGGAGAGTAAGTCGACCGGAGTGATGAGGAAATTGTCTTTGGAAGTGTGTGGGTGGTTGTTACTTCCCGGCTGCCTACACCGTGGAGGTTGATATTTTATTGAGGTACCTGAAACAGAAAGAGAATTAGTGTTGTGTGACCACAGAATCCACCGGACAGCTGTTTGGGACAGGCCATGCACAGCCTTTTTCAATTAGTTATTAGAATTTCGTCTGCAATAAGACCTTAACGTCGTCTACGGACCTCTGCAACGTAAGTCAGGATGAAGAATTTTCGGAGTCTATCTTCTCTAAAGCTGAGACGCAGCATAGCTGGCATACTGTGAGAGAAACACCTTGCTTCTGTTACTTGCCTGTTTTCCAGTAGTACGACTACCCACAGACCCCAAGTATAGTGTCAGAAAATTACACTATGATGGTAACTAATTTTGGTCTAATTGCCATCCAGACAACTTTTCTAGCGTGGTAGGACCTGCGAAAACATTAGTTTCAGCCAGTGTAGCTCGTTCGGTTCTCGAGATATGCACGTCCAACCACCATATCAAGGTAGCAGCTATCGGCCAGGATAATCAGTCATCAAGTTTGTGAAGCTTCATTGATTGAGGTGACTAAGACATGTCTTACGTTCACCTTCTTCTTTTGATCTTTGTGAGGTAGCATAGTGTTGAATTAGAAAAAAATTAGTGGTCAAGCCGAAATCTGCCATCAATTCATGAAATCTTTGGCTGGAAAGTGTAGACTACGTGGCTGGTTGTTTTGAAGAGGTTAAGAACTAGTAGCATGAAGCTGTTAATAATAAGGCTCAAAACATCGTTTTCACTAGTTCATGTATAGTGAATCCTCTCCGTTAATTTTCAGTTTATTTTAGTTTCGTCGCGTTTCTTTTTCTGCCCCCACCTTTTTTTTATGAAGTATGGTAACTACACTTTAGCGCTAATTTCTACGTTGAAAATTAAGTCGGTGACTTCACTTCTTCTTGTTGATCCTGACATTGTTGTCTTATCGGTGTCTGCAAACGACAAGGGTAAAGGTTTAATTCAGTATGTGAAGCAATATACATTCAGCTCAGTTGAATTTAAAACACGCCACTGAACTGCTTGCAGACAGGTAATAGTAATGCTTAAGTTTGATGAAATGTACATAATATGGATTGACTGACAGGTTTCAACGTAGAACTTTGCACAGATGTGCAGCCGTTCGAGTTGCCACACTCCCTCCTTGTAGCACACAAAGCAAGAGAAGAAAGTAAACCGAGATTCAAAACAGATATAATAAAGAGATATGAGGTAAAAAGAATAGTAATATCGAAGAATAATATAGTCACAAGGAATGGATGCATCTGCGCCATTGAGAATGACGATTTTGAGCCATATCACCAATTGTCTCCAACCTTCATTGGTCTTTACCGTCACGAGGACCCCAACTGGTCCGCAAGTCTACACCTTCCTACGTGGCGTAAACTAACTGTTGTGCATTTGATCGACTGATGAAGCCATGTTTTGGTTTGATCACCACTAGCTTTCTCTTTTCCTACCTGAACCTATGTCAACTACCATTGCCCCTTTGAGGAAGGTATTACTCACAAATTGACTGTTTTGTCAATGACTACGTATATCATTCGGTCCATTAATGTATACCTACCTGGGAAGCATCGTTTCAACTACAGGCGGAACTGACCAGGATATCAAAGCAAAAATCGGAAAAGCAAGACAAGCTTTCACTACTCTCAAGTCTGTGTGGAGGTCAACAGCACTCAGCATCAAAAATAAGATCGGGATTTTCAACTCCAATGTGAAGTCAGTGCTACTCACTGTACGGATCGGAGACTTGCACTGCGCGTCATAAAGAGCATCTCAAACAAACTACAGACCTTCATCAACAGTTGTCTTCTCTTAATGCTCAAGATCAGATGGCCGGCCAGAAAAGATCAGCAACAAAGATCTCTGGGAGCGAATCAACCAGGAACTGATTGTGGAACAAATAGATAGGAAGAAATGGAAATGGATTGGCCATACTCTTAGGAAACTATCAAGTGACATTACTAGACAAGCTATTGCTCGAGTGGAACCCGAGAGGGAAGCGGCGAGTTGGTCGTGAAAAGGTGACATGGAAGAGGTCATGTGAAGGGGAGATGAAAGCGTGTGGGCAGACTTGGAGCCAGGTGAAAACTCTAACAGAGAACCGAACTCAATGGAGACGCGCAACCGAAGCCCTATGTTCCTCTAGGAATTAAAGGAAACAATAATAATAGTAATAATTAATGTATGTGACATGGAATCGTGAGCTTAACGAGTTACTGTGAAATTGATTTGATAGTTTTTCGGAAAAATGTTTCTGATTCGCTACTTAATCTCTACTACTTTGGTGATAAGAGTTCTAGAGTAGACTTTTCTTCGATTGCCTTTTTTGATCTTTCGTCTTCACCTCTAACCTTTTGTATATGTTTTTTTATATATTTAGGTAAAAATAAACCACTGAAGAGAATTTCTCCTCATTGGCGTAGTACATACCCCATTTCATTAAGTCAGTTACAAAAAAAGCGTGATGAATTTTGGGATACAGCTCCAGCGTTTGAAGGAAGAATTGAAATATGGAATGCTTTAAAAGTGGTAGCAGATTTTTTTGAGAAACAAGATTATGATATGGCACAGGCTATTTTAGACGGTGCATGTATTACTCTACCAACTGGTATGTTCACTAATACTTTCTTTTTCTTGTTTTCAAATATATGTATAACAAGTAGTTGTTTTTGTACCTTTTATCGGAAATGTACGTAAAGATTGTAAAAGACTAGTAGGTAGGTAGGTAGGTGGGTATGTAGCTATGTAAGTGGTGGTAGTGACTTTCTAAATCAGAGCAGTCTGACTTTTGCGGAATAACGTCGTCAGCTTACTTCTCTTCACCAGAATGCAATTGTTTACAGCACAAAAGTGAATTCATGATGATGACAACAGTCTGTGGCACAGGTTCGGAGTATAACTAGCTGTCACACTTATGGTGGATTATTGTAAAGCATTAAAAGATGATGTTGGAAAGTAAATACAGAAAACTATTTGCTAGAAATTTAGACTGAACATCATAAGCTGCGTAACTATAGAGACTAACCAATTTATAATAAAGATAAGTATTTGAAAGGAGAAGTAGAAGAATGGTATAGTGAGATTGTGGATGCACTTTTATGGTAAACTGTCCAGATTGTACACATATTGTTTAACTTCAGGTTCTTATATGTGAAACTTACTGTCAGCTTTATGTCGAGTATCTAGTTTCGGATTCAGAACTACCAACTTTTTAGTGATGTGCTTATTTCATAACCTTATAATCTCAACTACGACCTCTTTTAATTTTATAGTTTTCCACTAGTGAGTACTTGTCAGTTAGAATGGAGCACCCATTTAGTTCTGCTTAAATTGTTTTTATAGTTTATTAACTAATGTTAATTTGTGAGAAAAAAAGTTCTGTCCTCATAATGTTTACTCATAATTCCCTAGAGAAAAACTCTTCACATAAACTTGTCCAAAGCAGTTAGTTAGTTATTGGTCTTATTTTGCTTTCGTACAGCCATTGACTGACTGATTGACTGGTGTCAACGTAGAACTTTGTACAGAAGTGCAACAGATAAGATAAACAAAACTGTGAATGAGGGAAAAAGAATAGAAATATGGAAGAACAACAATAGAGTTTGATTGGATATTATAAATCACAAAGCGTGAATGCATCTGTGCCAGTCATTTACAATGAGGATTTTGAGCCAGTCATATCACCAATTCTCACCAATTCCCGTTCCTCATTGGATCTTACCAAACTGAGGACCCCAACCAGTTATTCAAGCAGTCTACACCCGCCCTACGTGGCTGGCTGGCTTAAAATGACTGTTGTGGATTTGACTGACTGATGACGCCATGTTTTGGTTTGACCACCATCAGCTAACTCTTTTCCAACTTATCCATCCTATGTTAGCCAGCATTTACCGCTGAGGCAGGAGATGGCTAGAAATGCCTGCGTGACACATATCGTAACCATCTCAATCAATCGATGCAACTGCTTTACAGCCTCGTCGATCGATTTTACTTCCCAATTACCTAGCACTCGACCGATGCCTCACCTCAATACTACTCACCCTATTATACTACTTAGCAGAGGAGATAGAACAGGGACACTTATGATCAAAGACAGCTAGCCAGGTTTCTCATGTCTTCCACATTCAATGGCCATGTCTCTTTCACAGCCAACCAGCCCATGAAGGAATACAGGGCGAACTGCTGCTATGCAGTGCACACGTCTTTTGATCGACAGACAACCAGATATCACGTCTACTAATTAAGCCAGAGACGGCGTAAGTTGGCAGGCAAATGCCAAACGAGCCTTCTGTATCTGTGCTAGGCTGTCTGATGCAACTTCCCAAATAAGCGAAATGGTCAACAAGCTCCACCAACCACTTCACTCCTGCCTATCTTTAAGCTAGGAGTGAGTCGATGTAGCCCAGTCCTGTAGCATCAACATATATATATATATATATATATATATATATATATATACAATAGTATTGGAAACTCTAGAACTCGTGCAGCCGTGTAAGAGCTTATGCAGAGTTGTCGCCTGAAGTGATGACACCCAGTTGTGTCTTTCAGGGATTTCCACTGTCCCCGTTTTTGTTTAATTTCATCATAGATGTACTAATGGAAGTGACTTTAATCCACTTAAGAGACTCACGTATTGACTTCTTACCAGAAAACAGTGTTGTTAACTTAGAGTATGCGGATGATTTTGTCCTTCTAGGTGAGGATGTTAATAAAATATAAAGTCTTCTGAACACCTTGAGCAAAAATCTTTGAATGTTTGGCATGCAAATCGCTCCTGTCAACTGTAAGATAGTGCTACAGAACTGAACTACATCAACTCACCTCTATCTCAAAGATAGGAAGTGAAGTGGTGGGGAGTGTTGACCAGTTCACTTATTTGGGAAGTAGTATCATCCCCGATGAACCAATTAATGACAAAAACTCAGCACGAATACAAAAGTATCGTGCGGTATTTTCTAACTTACATCATCTCTGGTTTAGCAGACGTGATATCCGGCTGTCGATCAAAAGATGTGTGCACTGCGTGGCAGTTCGCTCTGTCCTCTGTAGCCATTTAGAGTTGAAGATATGAAAAGGCTGGCTGTCTTTAACCTCAGATGCTGTTTACATTCTATCTCCCGTGTTGTGGCATAATAGGGTGAGTAACAGTGAGCTTAGGCTTAGATTGAAGGGGTAAGTGAGTGAATGAGGTTGTGATGGGGAATTGATTGCGATAACTAGGGCGCGTTACGCATGCCTAAGCATCGCCTCACTGAATGTAGGCAATGTTAGAAGACACTAGATTAGGTTAGAACAGAGTTAGATGTGGTCAAACCAAAAGCCGTCTTTGACTGGTGGTTCGGGTCATCCACGTAGTAAGGTGTGTAGAGTATTTACTTGGGGACTTTAGGATGTTAAGGACCAATGATTGGAGAGTGTTGGTGGTATGGCTCAAAGATCGTTCTCAATGATGCGGATGCATTCAGTCTTTGTAATCTCCCAGATCCCCTCAATCCTCATGTTTCTGCGTGTTACAGTTCTTTCTCCCGTATACTTCTGTTCATTAGAGTTCTCTTGAATCGTTTTTTTCCTTTTCACTACCTTTGTGTGCTAAATGCGGTGTGGCAACTTTGAATTTCTACACTTTTGTGCAACGTTCTGCTTTGAAACTCAGTCTAAAGCAGCTAAGTGCATGTGAATAAATGTTAACTGGGATTTAGAACTCATTTCGTTGTAAAATAAGCATATTTCAACTGAGCTAATAAATTAGCCTACATTGATCATATTTCTTTTCAGTCATATAATAATTAGTTTGACTACGATATGACTTCAGTTAGAGAATCAGAGAGTACTGGACAGCTGTTTCGTTGTAGTGTGGGATTTTTCAGCAGCAGACGTGTGTCTATGACTCCATCAGGGATCGATTGAATCCAAGACCTTCAAGTTGCAAGGTGAGCTCAATTCCCTGCAAACCAATACTTGGAAATTAATCTAGTTGTCACATGTGTTGTTGGAGGCCTTTATATTCCAATAGGGAATCAAAAGGACAAACAATAGTAATACCAATTCAGTTCACAAACTGCGCAGGTTACAGACTTGCATCAACAGCTGCCTTCGCTTGCTCCATGCTGAAGATCAAATGGCCGGCAGAGAAATAAGCAGCAAGAAACTATGAGAACAAACCAACCAAGAGCCGATCGCTCAACAAATATGTAAGAGAAAGTGGAAATGGATCGGGCATACATTGAGGAGCCCCGGATAGATCGTCTGGGCCGGGTGCCTTATGGCGTTTCAGTACTTGTAGTTCCTTCCGGACCTCCGCTTCTATTGGTAGGTTGGTAATGACCGATCAAGGAGCACTGGAGCTGGTTACCAGCTAAACTGCTTCTCAAAGTGCTCTGCCCAGCGTTCCATGCGTCTTTTCAGGCTGGCAATTGGCCTGCCATCTGCCTGACAGGCCGTCTCGCTGACACCTTGTTTCTTGCTGCCGGTGTTTCGGATAAGCGAGAATAGCTTCCGACTGTTGCCAAATGCAGCAGCTAACTCCATCTCACACGCATGTTCTGAAAATCAGGCTTCTCAGTCCTTAAGTTAACACTGTCTAATCTTGCACCTAAGCACCTTTCGCATATTGTCGTATTCGCTGCCAGCCGGAATGGACCGACGTTCATCCATGTGTCGCAAGGAAATCGCAGAAACCTATCTAAATATGATTGGTCATTAGTATGTACTTTTGTTTTTTATTTAACTGAGTAATTGTCATGAACTTTATTTTATTATTGTTAAACATGTTAATTGTAAAGCGGTTGTAAAGAAACTACGAAATGACGATAGCATCATCTCGCGAAATTTGTCTTATTCAAATTTATCAAAGGGGGACTAATTGTTTTTTATTCAGGTGTTAGTTTGCCATTGGAAAACCTGAAAACATTTTTTTTGACTTAATTATAATTGATTTGTGTTGTCTGGTTAAACTAACTAACTAATAAGTTTCCGTTTTTTTTAATCTTTTTCATGATATTGCTTTGCCTCTTTGTCCCGTCCCGTCCCTTTCTCTCTCTCTCTAGGAACATTATGTGATTGTTATGATGAGCTTGGTGCACGTTATCAACTCCCATTGTATGTTCTCAGTCAACCGAGTAATCTGATATCAGATCATTCTACATCGGATACACAGAGTATGCATTCACAATATCAAAATAATAATAATAATGCCTCGCCTATACTTAGAAATTCAAATATTGTTGTACATAGCAATACTACTCATAATAATGGTAGTAGTATTAGTAGTAGTGCTAACAGTTCAATAATTCCTTCAAATCAACATTGTGATGATTACACTAGACGGCGGAATAGTAATCATACATCGAATAATGATGATATCTGTGGATGTTTATCCCTGTTCACATCCTTGTGTCATAGAAATCGTAACCGACGAACATCTTCTACACGTTGGTTCCAGTGGAATTTTAATCCATGCCGTCGACGTGTATATAATCATCAATCAATAATAGGCGGTGGAATTATCAACTCTTCAACATTATTACCGTCGTCAACAGCTTCAGCGTCAGCAGCATCATCGTCATCGTCAAATTGTCTTAATCTACGTTTGTCGACTGGTGAACAATTCACATTGGAAATTGATAATGAAAATATGACTATATTGGAAATAAAACGTTTATTCGCTACATTATGCGGTTGGCATGAATTACGTCAACGTTGGTTTGTCTATGGTCGATGTTTACCGAATAAATTACAATTGAAAGAATGTTATATACCTAAAGGTTTTATTATTCAGGTGATTGTACATTCACCATTCGATCCTGAATGTTTATGGAAACGAGGAAATAGTAATAGTAATGATAATAATACTGGTGATAATAAACCGACAACGAGCAATACTTCAACCGATGAAATGATTCCTACATCATAAAGTAAAACTTCAATTTGCGCGCTCTTTTTTTGTATTATATTTATTGATTTAGTGTAATATGAATCAGAGATGATTATATGGGTATTATACTCTTATATGTGTACAGGGAGGGAAAAGCAAAGCGAAAACTGTGAATACTCTCCGTTTATCTGTAATATATATTACATAATATTGTATGTTGTATACAATGTGATTTTGTAAAAATAACTGGACAACAGCATTTCATCATTCATTGCATAATGTTTACTTGTGTGTTTATTAATTATTTTTTTTCAAAATTTTCTTTCCTTCCTTTCCAAATTCCTCTTGTGATCCAACCACACCGCCTCATATGGTGGTGGTGGTGGTAGTCTCTGGGGTACGACCCCCCCCAGCTACCTCAGACACTCCCTAACTAACCCCTCACTAGGCCGCTGATGTAGTAGTAATCCCGGTGAAAGAAAGGGGAGGTTGTTTGGTGTGTGAGCCTAGCAACTGGAAAGCCAAAGCACAAACTCGAAGGTGCCAGTGTGTACTTGCGTGTGTGTATGTGTCATTCCGTCCTGGCACTTCCCCAATTGCCATCCTGTATAACCTCTCTGTGTGTGTATGTATGAGTGCGTGTTTGATTGGTTGGGTGCCCCGTCCTTCGCCCCCCTCCTCCTCACTTTTTGTCTAGGGAAAATAAATCAGTCCTTTGTTTGTTTTTTACTTGTTACCCATAAAAGTGGTGTTTCTTTTCTAAACTGGCATTCCTGTCCCCTCCTCCTTGTTTTCGAAGCAATTGTCACCTCATGATCTCAAATGTTTTCTTCTGTGTGATTTTCCCTGTTTATATTTCCTGATTTTTATTTTGTGCTTTTATTTTTGCGCCCCCCCCTCTTTTATCTTGTATGTCTGTGAGTGCGTGTGTATGTGTGGGGGGGTTCTTTCAGTTGCTTTCGTTTATTATCATGTGCTTGATTCTTTTGCTCTTTTTTTATTTTTCTCTTTTTTTCTCATTATTTGTTCTGATTTACACAATCTGATTTATACTTTCTGAATGATAATCATAATTTGACTACACCTCATTCTCTGTCTACATATACTACTCAATTTGTATGTAGGCGTATGTGATATTTTTTAAAAATTTAACTGACCTAATATTACTTTTATTATAAATATAGACATATATATACATCATTCCTGTTATATATCCTTTATTTCTGGGAGTGTTAGACGATAGTTCATAGGTGGATGAATATGTGATTTGTGCGTTGGTGGCACAGTGGTTAGGACTCTCGCCTACCATGCACATGGTTCGGGGTTCGATGCCCCGCCGACGCACACCCGATATCTATGGTCGGGTTGCAAAATTTGGGCTACCGATATCCATGCTGAAAATTCCATACTTGTACTGAAAATACGATGTGGCATCAAGCTGTAATCAAAAATATTAAAAAAATTTCGATCGAGAAAAGAAGACCAGATTTGCAGTATATGAAATGTGGTATCATTCTATTTCACAGGTTCTCATCAGCTGCACACCATTACCTGAAATTACAATGGTTATAAATAATAACATTTCATACTTCATTGTTTGAAAGGTAATAGAGAAAACATTATAAAATGAACGCATCCGGAATATAAGTATTACGATACTTTTTAGTTTAAGTTACCATCAATTTATATGCTATCAAACTATGAAAAAAGAGGGGGGGGGGGTTGAGAGAAGACAGAAAACAGAAAAATCTAATAAACCGTGTTAGCTTGTACGTCAACATGCCAACTCAAGAAGGTTAGAGTTCATCAAATTGAAAACTTGCTTAGTGAGTTGAGCTCACTAGTGTGGAATGACTAATCAGTGTAATACGGTTACCAAGGGAGTTAGAGATTGACTACACTCTCTCTGTCTGTATCCATAAGTTTGGTCTGAGAGGTTTGATTGTAATCGCTTCAGCAGTAAATCGTAGTAGATTCGCTGTCCTTTGTATGTTTAATATTTTGAAGGATTTGGAAATCTCGACGAAATGACCCGTATCCACAGAGTGGGTGTCTGGTAATTGTACTTTGTAAATATCTGTTTCCTTTTAAGCATAAGTTTGTTGGAATATGTTCTGAAAACCGGATAGAAGCCCTTCTTTCTGTCCTTCCGATGTACTTGCTGTCGCAGGTGCACGTAAATTTATAAATGCAGTTTGAGGTAACATCAGCAGGGTACTTATCCAGTTTTGATTGGCTTATAGAGCATGTAGTTCTATATAGTGTCACTAGCTTAGATGCAGGGAAGCATCTTTTTATTACTCCTTTCATTCTCTTGTCAATCTTTTATGATACTGCTTCTCCTTTGTATGGGAGACAAATAAACACTTTCTTCTTTTCAACTGTTGGATACTTCTCTTTCTTTTTCTTTGCTGTGTATTAGGGTAAATCCCTTTGGATACCTGTTTTCCCTGAGGCACTTTTCAACGAAGCTTAATTCTTCTTCTACCTTGTTAGGCGAACATAACTTCCTGGCTCTGTCGTGCAGTGAGTGTCCTTAATAATCCCCGCTTATAGCTTATGGGGCAGAAGCTGTTGTAGTGAAGATATTGTCCAGTCCAGGTTTCTTTTCTGTAGATGGACTTTTCAACCGTTCCATCGTTTCTTCTTTTTACATTTAGTCCGGGAAATTGAACTCGTCGTTGTGTTCATTCATATTCCATGGTGAATTTAATGTTTGGGTGGATCTCATTAAGGCCGTCAAATACAAATCTGGTCTTTCTTTCTTTGTCGAAATTTATCAAGGGAACCAAATAGTTGAAATATGTGGTTTATTGACCCAAAGTATTCAGCTTTCAAGCAACCAGTAAATAGGTCATGGAGGGGGGGGCGAAGTTTAAACTATCATAATCAAAGTCCAAGGTCTGCGAAAAGTTGACCTTCAACTGAACAAATTAATTAGGTTTCGGAAATGTTAAGAAAGGTCATCCCAAATCGTATCAATGCCTGCCTTGATTTATGGATTTGGTAAGGGTGTTTCTGGAAATCTATCCTAATAGGTAGGTGGGTTTAGGTGTAGGTAGGTTGAAGAACACAGTCAAGAATTTCATACAGCCGGTTCCCATTTATTATTAGTTTGAATAAAGAAAAAAATAAAGGAATCGACTTGTTACCAGGGAATAGTCTTATGGACTTAGAATATGCAGATGACATAGTCCTGTTAGGGGAGGATGCTGACAAATGCAGAGTCTTCTGAACACCTTGAGCAGCAATCTTCGTATGTTTGGCATGCGATTCGCCCCTGTGAAATGTAAGATGCTGCTACAGGACTGGACTACGTCAACTCCAAGCTTAGTGATAGGGAGTGAAGTGGTAGAACATGTTGACCACTTCACCTATTTGGGAAGTTGTATCAGCACCAATGGGCTGAATGGCAACGAAATCTCAGCACGGATCCAAAAGGCTCGAGCTGCTTTCGCTAGCTTACACCATCTCTGGCGTAGGCGTGACATCCGACTATCAACCAAGGGACGTGTGTACTGCTCAGTAGTTCGCTCCGTCCTTCTCTATCTATGGCTCTGAAACATGGCCAATACGAGTTGAAGACATGAAAAGGTTGACTGTTTTTGATCATAGATGTTAACGATCTCTTTCTCGCGTTAAGTGGCATAATAAGGTAAGTAATGTTGACGTTAGGCGTAGAGTGTTGGGCAAAGTAGGAAAATCAATCGAAGAGGCTATAAAGTTACATAGATTGAGGTGGCTAGGTCACGTGCTGCGCATGCCTAACCATCGTCTCCCCCGACGGGCATTACTAGCTGATATAGGTGCAGGTTGGAAAAGAGTAAGTGGTGGCCAAACAAAAACATGGCCTCATCAATCCATGAGATCCTTCACAGTTAAACTGAGTCAGGTAGGGAGGGAGATGCAGACTTCCGGGTTGGGGCCCGCCCTCAGGACTCTAAGAATCAATAATGGCTGGAGACAGACAATAGGTGACATGGCTCAAAATCCTCGTTGTCAATGGCTTACGCAGATGTATTCAGTCTCTGTAATCTTTCATATTCGTTTCTACCATTACTCATTCTGTTTCACTCTTATACTTGTCAAAACTCTATTGATTCTCTTCACTCATCTTCTTGTCTTGTCTACTCTTGTGTGGTATTTGGTACGTGGCAACTCGAACTGCTGCACTTCGGTGGCAAGTTCTATGTTGATCCAGACAGAGAATAAAGAAAGATAATACGAACTCATTTTATTTTGTGGATTCTCTTCAACTGTCGCGTGCGTCCTAAACAAAATCAATTATAAGTTCCATATTGGGATCTGAAGATACATTATTCACAATGACTTCAAGTTATAGATAGACAGAAAGTATTATAGGCAACATAATTTCAAAGATGATGTAAGTAGACGAATTATTCAGTGTGAAAAGGATAACTATTTATACGATAATTAGAAAAGACAAGTAGTGTTCAAATTTCGTTTAGAAACAAGGATAAACTAGAGACAAAATACAAGAGAGAACAACAGAATGAATTTCTACATATTATAGTAGAGAGTTCAGGAGGGTGGGTGGAGGTGAATAGTGGAGTAAAATTATAAAATAGATAAAACAATTTGGTAGATTTGGAAACTTAATACTGAGTTCAATTCAGTGAGTGAAAATCAGAATCAAGATTGAGCGGACTGTTATGCAACAGGACAAAACAATTACGCTTACCAGGATAGTGGTAGATTAGTCACACTTTTTCTGTATACAGAGGTTCGTTCGAAGTCTTTTGATGGCAATGGCTTCTCCGGATCGAAGTAACCATGCTTTTCTTTGTGTATTGTGATTATTTTGAAAGCCTGACTAATTTCCACTGTATGTCCCGTGTCGGTCAATTAGGTGTCTGACGATTGAACTTGAGAATACTTTGCTGTCTTTCAGACGGAGACTTTTAGGGATATGCTTGGAGAATCTAGGAGACACTCTCCTCTCAGTCCTTCCTATGTACTTGCTGCCGCAAATGCAGGTGAACTGGTAAACGCAGTTGGAGTTGGAGCAGGATACTTTTTAATAATAATTTGCTTTATTCCAAAACAGTACTTGTGATACAGAATGGAATTCTCAGCATTTTACTACAGTATTGCATCCAGTTAGTACATTAACAATAAATAAAATTCTACATAGATTATGGGTAATCTCGGTTAGTTTTGACAAAAACATATTGGTATGTCGGTAGCAAAGCCAAAAATTGAACATAGTGTTTGAAGGTGTTAGAGAAGTAGATGCTAGCGAATTTACTGGTGTAAGCGGTAACAAAAAGGTTGAGATATACAGAGTGTGAAAGAAGGAAGAAGAATGTTTTAAATAGAGTTTGTAAGGAAAAGAGAAACAAAACAGAACATAACAAAAAAGAGAAAAGGAAAGAAAGAAAGCGTTGTACCTAAAAATGATATGAGTTGGAAAGACGAGATGCAGTAGTTCTACTGACTATTTAATATGTTATAGGTATCACGCCTAATGCTTTCTTTATCGCACAGAACACGAACCAAGTA